TTTTGTAATTTTATTAATATTTCTGTGTATTTAAAAATACAGATTTTTTTTTTTTACTTTTTTTACAATGTAGCTTTGAGTATCAAGAATCAAAAGTTAAATACTTCTTTGATCAACTATTTTGTAACATTTGTAACTCAGTGCAAGTGTGAAAATATAGTTAGTTTTCTGTTTATTTCTGCACTTTATCCTGACACTTTCTGATCTTTTTGTTTGTCAGGTTGATTCTGAGCAGCAGTTGAAGAGAATCACTCAGATGAGAATAGTTGAGTTTGATTATAAACCAGAGTTTGCGTCTACTATGGGAATAGACCACACCCACCAGACAGGTAACAGGCCACATTATTACCGTGTTATTATAATACTGTAATTTATTCACTGTATACCAGGTGAACATTATAACATTATTATATAAAATGATATTTCAGGTATAATAGCTCAGGAGGTGAAGGAGCTGCTGCCGTCGGCGGTGAAGGAGGTCGGAGACGTCAGCTGCTCCGACGGAGAGAAGATTCATAACTTCCTCATGGTGGACAAGGTAATCTTTCTTCCTGTTGTGTTTATCTTTATTGGACAGTATGTGACATTTAAGATTTGGCTTCAACAGACAGCTGAAATTACTTTAAGGTTTTTCAAATGTCAAAGGTTATTACAGATCGGAAGTGGTGGTATAAACAATTTGTGTCAAGTTTAACAACACAATGTTTAGACACAATAATGTCTTTTTAGTTCAGATATGTTCATTTGGGGGAATTTTTCAAGCAAATATTGATATATTTGATTGTTTGTGACCCCTTAAAGCCTCCATACTAAAGCATGCTTATCAACATTATAATGCCATAAAAACTGCAGTCTTTCCACTACTTAACCAAACACTGGTTAGCTTTATAAAGCTATATTATATAAGCTATTTATTCTTTCTAGTCTATAATATGTCAGAAATAAGTAACATAGTCCAACATTGTGTCTTCAGGTGTCTTGTTTTGTCTGACCAGGAGTCTAAAACCAAAAGATATTTAATCTTCGCTGAGAAACAGAGCAAATCTTCACATTTCAGAAGCTGGAAGCAGAAGATGTTTATTATTTTTGCGTAATAAAAGACCTAAACAATTACACTGATTATTAAACCAGTGGTTAAAGACTAATTATTATACAATACTATACTAGTAAACTCCAGTTCTTAATGTATATTCTACTGAATGTTTTTTTCATCGAAACAATTTGGTGCTTCCTGTCTACAATGTAAATTAAGTGTATTGACTAAATTGGGGCACACACGACTTAAACAAAGATACAACTTTATTTGCTTACATTGAACAACTACATTTCCCATTAGCCTTAGCCATGAGCATCTACCCAAACCTGGTATAGTATATGATGTTAAATATGTTTTATCTCTGTTCCAGCAGCACGAAATCTCACAGGAAACAGAAATAAAGTGTTTGTGTACTTCCTCTGACTCCCTCGTCTTCATCTTCCTCCCCCAGGAGCAGATCTTCATGGAGAACGTCGGGGCGGTGCAGCAGCTGTCGAAGCTCACCGACAACCTGGAGACCCGAATCATAGAGCTGGAGGTCTGGAACCGCCGACTGGCAAAGCTAAAGAGCCTGACAGGCAGCCTGCGCTCCACCGGGTACGTTCATCCCTTCATCTGCTCATTCATTCATCTGGTATTAGAGATTCATGAGGGCAGACAAAAGCTGTAGTTTGTGGTCATGTTCAGCACATGATGGCTGGTTATTTAAACAAGCTTCAATCTAGCATTCAACATATTAGTAATACAGACAGGTAATATCCAGAAAATAAGCATGAAACTACATTAATAATTTTAGCAGTGTTTAGATCAGCAGCGGAGACGAGTTTAAACATTTTTAAAATGTCTGTAAATGTCAAAGAACGGTAAGTTTTGATGCTAAATAGTGAGGTCAAAGTTGTTTTTAAACTTAACATAAATAGCAAATATCTCATACATACATAACATAATATTATCACAATAATAATCATTCACAATCTGTGAATATATTGTTAAAAATAAAAGCCACTATGCAACATTTCCACTTTTAGTATTTTCTTTATAAATCTTCAGACATTTGTTTCTTCTTTTTAGTAATAAAATAAAATAAACCAGTGAGTTTTTCACTTTTAAAATGGATTCCTTTAGTAAGCTCGATTTTGAATGTGAGGAACGTTTTCAGTTCTCAAAATTTGATACGTGCACACAAACTGCCTCTAGTGGCCGGTGGAGAAATCTCTGAAATATTTATTTTCTAATTATATACATTTATTTAAAACTAACAAAATACTACAAAAAAATGATGAAAATACTTTGCAGAAATATAATTTTAAAATAAGAAATTCTACATTTCCTGTAATATTGATAATCAATATCAACCTCCTAAACATTTACGTTCATGCACGTTGTTAGGAGCTGAAATGTGATGCTAAGATAGTCAACAAATATAAATAAATAAATAAATGGTTTAAAAACACTGAAAATGTGGCTCCAATCAGGAACTTCTGGGAAGTGTTACAATAAACAATAAATAATCTTTTTATAAGGAATAAATGTTCAGTAACAGTAAAAAAAAAAGAAAAGTAGAACTTTCTGTGTGTAAGTGCAGTTAAGGTAATATTGTACAGTGTTCAATGCCATGGAAAAGTACTGTGTGTGTGTTGCATAATAGTGGATTACTGTGTTATCAGCGTATCACAGTTCAAGGACTCTCTGAAGGCTTCTGTGTGAATGAAGAGCAGCAGCTTTAAAAGAATTAACTGCAGCTAAAAACCCAGGATGAGGTGTCACTAACAGGTCACTAACAGGTCACTACGGTCACGGTGAAAGGTATTGTGGGAAATGTAGGCACAGACTGAAGAAGATAAGCTATGTTTCGGTGGAGAACTGTGGGAAAAAATGCCTGTTTGATCAGTGATTTCAGAATAAAAGCTGTTATTCTTGCGTTTTCTCCAACAGGAAACCTAGAAAACACAGCAGCGTGTCGATGTCGTCGAGTCCTGACGATTGTAAGACCGGGAAAGTTCAGAAGGAAGGCTGGAGTCAGAAGTACAGACACTGTCTGCGGCATAAAGTCTTCCAGGCCAGCGTCTTCACCCTGCTGACCACCATGGCGTTCTGGTGAGGCATGATGTAACTTCCTGTTTTTATGAAATAGAAATAATATGTGCATTTTGAAAAAGGAAAATATTGTGTGTGTGTGTGTGTGTGCAGCGTCATCTCTATCACCGCTCTGTACCTACTAAACTTGAAGGAGGGAGACATTGATGCCTTTCCCGGCATCAGGTAAACAACTTTTTATTGTAATACGAAACACTTTATTTACCGAAAGCAACTACCGAATGTCCCCTATCAAAAACCTATTATGACCCTGGCAACCATTAACATCGGACCAACCAGTAACTCTTGCACTCCCTTTGTAACATGTTAGTAACCACATACAATACAACACTCAGTAACCCACAACCAACTGACTGGTGGCATCTTAGTAACCACCGATCATCACCTGGCAACCACCTAGTAACATCATCTACCTAGTTACATTCAACCAACCACTGACAGTTAAGTAAAACCCTGGTAGTTACCTAGCAACATTTATGGGGCTGTCATGTTTACCAATAATAATAAATTACTTCATTACACTACAACTTCAGTGTTCTGTTTGTGGTTGTCGGTGCTGACTGTTGTTTTTACTCTGTCAGTAACGGGAGCATGGTTCCTCCGCAGACCACATCCTGGAGCAGCACAGGTAACCTACAACCTCACACTGTTTACATTCACACAGATACACAGAGGATGTAAAAGAACTTCTTCCATTCATGTGTGTGTGTTACAGGCAATAGGATGTAATCTGAATAATAATATTTAGAGAGAATCAGAGTCCAAAGTAATATTAGATAACCACTGATTAATCAACAATACACTAACTTCTTTTGACCTTATGAATATTGATCTTCCCATAAAAAGTTTAAACAGATAATTTTGTATGTATATATAAGTGTCACTTCTCTCTACTAGTTACACCGACCAGTATACCCGGCCCCTGGCCACCAGACGTGGACTTCTGTGACCTGCTGTACTGTGATCAGGTGTACTGCTGCACTCCACCAACAGGGGGCAGCACAGACTCCAACGTCACCTCCACTGAATCAGCTGCAGCAGAAAAGTCTAATATGACAGGTAAACACAGCAGATTCACTCTGACAGATACAGAAATACAGGAAAGAAACATAAAGACACAGGTTTAACTGTCATTACTCACAGTATAAGAGTATGTGATGTTTTTGCCTTACAGAAAGAAGAAGAGAAAAACTTTATCACCAGCTGAAAAGTGCCAGAGACTGTGAGTTTCTACATTTTAAATCTGCTTTTACAGATCTTTAAGTTGAATGGATGTTGACCTCTTGGGGCCGCTAGCGAGGATTAAACATGCAATATGTAATTTCTGCTGCAAGAACATCAAAACAATAATCTGTTAGATGAGGTGGTGAAGCAGCGTGGGATCATGGGAGTTGTTGTCTTCACCACCATTGCGGTCATTGATAGAAAGACGTGATGGGTGAGAAGA